AAAAAAAAAAAAGAAATTCCAATCCAAAGCCAGCCTGAACAGCATAGTGAGGCCTGATTTCAAACACAAACACACACATCATCATCCTTTTCTTCTTGAGCTAATATATATTTCCTCAAAAGGTTGGAATGTGCAGAGTCCCTTATCTAAATCTAAAGAGCCTGAAGCGTAAGGGAGGAGCCTTGACAACTCTCAACTTGGATGGAGTGTTTTAGTTACAGTACAGGTGTCCCTAAAGATTCGAGAGGAACAGAACGTCCTGGAAAATACATTTCTAAGACATCTACATTTACCTACTCAGACCCGCTCCCACCTTCATTGCTTTAGAAAACGCCAGTCTCTCCCCCGGATTCCTGTCCTGGAAACTTACAGTCTTCCTTGATGGTTCTTCAGCGATCTAACTATGAACTCTTGCCTTTCCTCTATTTCTTGTCTCTTGGAGAACTCTTCTACTGCCCGTGAGCAGTCTGCTGTCTGGCCCTGCCTCTCCCTGCCTCTCCTTGCGCCTGGGCGCTGGGGCTGCTTTCCCATCCTCCAGGGGCATAGGTCCTCCCCAGCACTCCTCCGTGCCCTCCTCTCCTTTGCTGCTGCTCATGTCCTGTGTGGTTCAGGGTCACATGTGAAGAGACACAGGAGAGACCCAGCTCGAAGCCTCTGCACAGAAACCTTGCCAAGAGGGCTTCCTGACAGGCAGGAGAAGGCTGGAAATGCAGCACTTTCGGGTACAGAATGGTGTGTGTGTGTGTGTGTGTGTGTGTGTGTGTGTGTACGCATGTGCACATGTGACAGGGCACATACATCCAAAGGCAGCCTTGCTGACACTTAAGGGCCTGCAAAAGAGGCATCCTCTGTGATAGAACTAATAATATAGGAGTTATAAGTGCTGTTTGGGGGGCACAGGTATAGCTCAGCAGCACAGAGCTTGTCTGGAAAGCGTGAGATCATGAGTTCAATTCTTGGTGCAGAAAAAGAAAGTGCTATTTTGACTCTGGTTTGAGGCCCTGGCTGGAGGCTCATCAGACCCTCTTGGGCAACCTATGAACTCCACACCCCTCCCATTACTGCTATAACTGACCCTTCACACTCCACGCCACTGTACCTCAGTCCTGATCACCCCAGGACTGTGTATGGGACAACCAGAGACAACCACCGTGCTGTGTGTTGAGCTCGCTGGAACCATCCAGCCTCCCCTCCTAAGCCCGCCTGCCCCACCTCAGCCCTTTCTTCTCTGCTCTCCATCTGCCTTGTGGCAGACCCTGGTTGGTCCCCTGAGTGGCCCAGCATGTGCTGTGCTGTCCCCAGGGAACTGCAAGTGGAATGCAACTGTCAGACTCTCTAGCTTCTATCTCTTTATCCGTGTATCTGGCTTCACAGCACCCCATTTTCAGTAACATAGTCAAAACAAGGCCAGCAGGGAAACTTGGACTAATCACTGACACAGAGAGCATTAGAGCCAGGTCAGAATGGCAGAAAGCAAATGGGGGCTGAGACCTCCCAACACTCTCCACGGCCTCCCGTACGGTCCCTGGAGACCAGAAAACCACTTAGCCATCTGGCAGTGGGGCCATGTGGATGTTTGGAATGGTTCTTCTTTCCAGAGACAAAGCTAGACAGATGCTAGCCCCGTGTTGCTTCTCTCCTGAGGCATGCCCTATGCGGATAGGCTAAGTTTTACCTGTAAATTCTCAGGTTTGACTATTGCACAGAACTAGATTTTATTGGATATTATTGTTGTACTATGGATTGAACTCAGGGTCTAATGCTTGCTAGGCAAGGGCTCTGCCACTGAGTTACATCACAGCCCCTTTTCAACTTTATTTTGAGTAGGGTCTCACTAAGTTGCCAGGCTGACCTCAAACTTGTGATCATCCTGCTTTAACTTCTCAACTCAGTGGGATTACAGTTTGGCACCACCATACCTGGCCAGAATTGGGTATTTTAATTACTGAAATCAATGGGATTAAAATGTTTGGAGATCTGGAAGGATGGACTAGAATACTAATAGGACCAACTCTGGGGTTCACTCAGAGATGGGAAGGAATTTGTTCCACACAGCAGGATTGATGGATGGGCAGGGACAGGCCAGAAGAGGGAAAGGAGAAAGTTGCTTTTTACTGCTATCTTTTTCAGCAAAACTGTTACACATGTGGAATCTCTCCATCCTGGGCCCCCTCCGCTTGTCCTTGGTGCTGGAAACACTGCCCAAAATGAAGTCAGCCTCGTAGACAATGGGGCTCTCACAGCCCTATCAGTTGGCTGGCTTGGAGGTCTTTCTCGCAAGCAGGACTGCCACCATCCGCGCCTCTTCTGTGGCCCCACCTCCTTCCTGCTCTTCTGAAGGACCATTCCGTTTGCTGTTGGGTAATACACTTCCTGCATTCTAGCCTTAGCGCCTATGATTTTTCCTGCATGTCTTCATTTCCTAGATTGCCTCCCAGGTGACCACCGGACATACATTGGGCCAAAGTACTTTCTCAGTGTTTTTAAAATTGAAAATAAGAGGAAGTCTTCCACTTTCATCCACAAAGCATACATTGTCATGGGAAATGTCTTCTTATTATGAACACTGGAAAGAACAACAAAAAAATTAAGACGCAGCTGTTTTCCAACATCAGATAAAAAGTAGTACACAATGTGATGGTAAGAGGAAAAAATGAGGTGCGTCTTAAGTGTGTCCCGGCTTCCTGTCCCAGAACAATGTCTGGGCTTTGCTGCAGGGACACAGAACCCAAGCGGGACCTGGCAGTTGCGCAGAAGGCAGGGGATGGAGGCCTGAGTTCAGGGAGGCTGAGTGACTAGGACTGTGGAGCTGAGAGAAGAAAGCGTGAGAGAGCGGAGGACAGGATTGGGGGTGTCAACAGATGGGGCCTAGAGGACATCCCAGGTCACTGAGGAGCAGGGGGTTCCTTCTCCCCTTCTCTATCTGGTACTTGGGTCGATGCAGGGCATTTGCGCTGAGCTACATCCCCCATCCTTTTTATTTTTTATTTAGAGACAGGGTTTCCCTAAGTCAATAAGTCGCTCTGGCTGGGCTTGAACTTGGAATCCTTCTGCTTCAGACTCCCAGAGTGCTGGGACTGTAGGTATGTGCCATCATGCCCAGCTCTCGTTTCCTCTCTTTTTGCTTCCTGACCATGAAATGAGTGGCTTTGCTCTATAATTGGCTCTGCTGTGATATACTGTCCTCGTACAGGCTCAAAGGCAATGGGGATAATCAACCTGTTGGCCAAACTAATCCTTTTTTCTTTATAAGTTACTTACCTCATGTGTTTGCTACCATAGTGGAAAGCTGACCAACACAGTACAAATACAAAATGGTATGTCAACTTTGGAAAAATAGACTGGCAGTTTCTTTTAAAATTAAATGTATTCATACATGATTTAGAAATTCTACCCTTTAGACATTCACCCAAGAGAAATGAAGACACGTATCCATACAAACTTATTCATAACAGCTTCTAAACTGCAAATGATCTAAACATTCATGAACTGTTGAATGGATAAACATGTTGTGGTATGTCTATACAATGGAATACCACACAGCAACAAAAGGAAATAAACTACAGATACTTGTGACAAAGTGAGTGAATCTCAAGAGCATTATTCTTTATATAAAAGCCCACAAGCAACACACTCATATTACATAATTCCACTTACATAACATTGTAGGAAAGACAAAATCTTAGTAATCAAAAGGACATCAGGATTCTCAGATGCCATGGATGGAGAAAGGGCT